GACGATGCCCTTGTAGATTACATGGGGAGCGCAATCTGTGTTTAGCACACTCGCCCCTTAGAGGACGGATTATGGGATAAACAGAGTGGCAGGCTCCTGTCACCATACACACACTAACTCACACACACACATCAATATCACATCACACACCCCAGCCCCCAGTCACTCAGGAGGACACACAGAGACTAAAGGAGCCCGGCCATGGCCTCATGCTGTGTTATCAGGGTAACGAATTCTTACTGGTGGCCATGCAAAGTTCAACATGTGAATCAGGAAAAAGTGAGGACAGCAGAGCATCATGTTCAACACTCCGGAGGAACCCAGAACTTCCCCCAGAACCCAGCAGAACCCAGCAGAACCCGTGCTTACGCTATATCAATGGCCACTTGTATCAAATAAGAATACACTGACACTCATTAGTGCTTTAAAGTAACAATGTATCGACGTTTTTAAGTTAAGAGAGTCGCTTCCCGCCAGGACAAATGTGCGTCATAACCAACGTTACCTGTAATTGAACTGTAATTATATAAAGCCGTACCGTGGACCGTACCGTGCTGGTCCAAGAGAGACAGCCTGTTTATAGCAGTGTAATAAGTAGGTGGTCACTAGCGTTGGCTCAGCCTGTCACACGCCCCTCAGCGTGGGAAGAGACGCAAACAGCAGCGCGTGTCTCCCAGTATGAAGCAATGGGCTAAAAACAACAACGCAGTTAGAACTACAACTAAACTTAACTAACATTGATAAAGAAATACAGTTTGTCTGGCTTCATAAAGTGGAACAAACAAACAAACAAACATTTACTTTGCTCCTACTTTCAGGTAGTTTTTAAGCCAGTATGGTAGGATGTTACAAACTCGTGTTGACCTTAGCTAACTTTATTTTCATGTACTATAATTATTTTATAGGTTCAGTTCAGCCACTGATGCCTCCTCGTGCCGTTTCCGTTCAGAGCCTCGCGCGGTGTGTAACAGAGAGTAGGTACTCACGCACTGCCTCCTGTTTGGGGTCCAGCTCGGAGCAGGTCTGCTGAAGTCGGCTGATCTTGCTCTGCAGACCCCTGACCCGCTGGTTGGTGGATGTGAGGTCGTTTTCCAGCTCCTGGAATATGGAGCAGGCATGTCTGGCCAGGTCCGACAGCTGCCGCAAGGTCCGAGATAGAGCCACATTACTGATGGAGACCAGATCCTCGAAAAGCAGACCCTCCTCGTTTGGGATTTGATACCTGCAAAGCAACTGGGGTTCCACGACTCGTTTGGCAAATGGCATGTTGGTGTGGACCGGGGAATAAATCCGACAAAAGTGACCCAAAAGTGAGCAGAAAGCAGTTCTCCCCCCTCGCCCCCTGATCCAGTTTTTCTGAATTCAGCTGCTGCTGATGCCCCCCATCCTTTCATTTGTTAGAGAGGACTGTTGTGCTCCTGGCTGCTGCGCCGGGTCATCTGCTGCCCCTAATGCTAGTGTGTTTTTCACTGCTCCAAAGTAGAGGTGGTTTTAAAAAAGGCGACTGTAAAACCTGGAGGGGATTCACTGGATCCGGACTGCTGAGCTGCTGGGCTGCCGTGTTGGCTTCACAGTCCTCAGAAAAAACGAGCACAGTGGTCACACTTTCATACATCACACACCGAAGGTCTTATAGGCACGTTCATACAGTACAGCGTACAGTAAAGTGAGTTCAGTATGTTCAGTAAATCAACTTTCCAATACAGACTGTTTATTGGACATGTCAGTGAGGGGAGATCCAAACTGTATTGTCATACATTTAACATTTGCTTTTAACCAGAACTAAAATGATTAGTTTGTAATTAATTAATTGATTACAGGAATCGAGAGAAAATCAACCAGTAACAATTTTAATAACTGATTCATTGTTTATGTAATTTAAAAAAAAAAGCAAATAATACCAAAAACCGCACTGGTTCCAGCCTCCAGTCTGGTTCCAAATGTGAATATTTGCTGGTTTTAATAACACACTGAATGTCTTTGGGTTTGGGACTGTTGGTCAGACAAAATAAGACATTTCAGTGTGTTACCTGAGGCTCTGGGTAACTGTGAGGGACATTTTTTTTTTTACTATTTTCTGACATTTTATAGACCAAAACATTAGTTGATGAATCAAAACATAACCATTCATATTCAGACTCACTGAGAGTAACGGTAATTGCAGCCCTGCGTTTAACCATCGTCTCATTTTCAGAGTTGGCCACAGAGGCAAATGTAAATGAATGACACAGAGCTTATGTAACGTATCCTGGACAAGCATCACACTGGTTCTGTTATTTACAATGCAGTGGTTTGGCTGGGTGCATTATAGGCGAAGGGGGGTTGGACAGCTTCTCGGGTCACACAATCCCTCATCTCCAAGCTGGGGAAGGTCTAGTTAGGACAAAAGCAGGCAGGGTATCTGGATTAGCATTCTCCTCAAAAGCTGCAGTACATCATGTGTTTTATTAAAGGTTTAAAATAATTATAATCATGAGAAGACAAGCTTTCATATGATTCAAATACATGAATTAGTGCAGCCTGTAGGGCTCAATGTTGTCTTTATTCATTCTCAATTTGTGATGCAACTGTGAGGATTTCTGTTTTACTTTATAATTTCCATCTCTGTGTTAATCTTTGCTTTCACCTCCGTATGCAGAGACCTGACAGCCCGTGCCGCACTTCATTCACATTTGCTGAATGAGTGTTTAGCTAAATCCCACCAGCTGACGGGGCCAGAATCAGGAGAGGTGACAGCCTGAAAGCCCTTCCTGTGGCCTAACTAATGTCCACACCAGAAGTGCAACCTTTGCAAAGCCCGGGTCTGGGACAAAGGAGAGACGAGAGGAACGGCGTATGTCGTCATCTTTGAGTAATGGTGCTGCAACAAAAGGGCTAACTTGAACTTACAAAAGCTGGTAATCTTTGTTGTGAGAAGAGTCAGCTTTAACTTTAAGCCACCGGGGCGATACAAGTGATTGAGGAGCCCGTTGCAGCCGTTTACAGTGCATTCACACTGAACTTGAAAAATAAGTCCACGTGTCGGTTAATTTCATTCGATTACCTTTGAGTTTCTGCTTTTTTCCAATAAACAGTTGCTTACTACAAAGTACTGAGACATATATATGGAGTCCTACAGAGACCCAATTCTGTCAATGAGGGGTTTTTCTATTTGTGTCTGAGAGCACTAAATATCAGTCTCCAGCTAGACGAATCAATAATAGTACTAACCATAATAAGCCAGTTGCTGACTTTGTGTGAGATAGCTAGATGGCAATTATATCAAACAGGCATTTACTCAGAGACAACACATGGCTGACACATATAGTTTCCTCATCACGTGCAGCTGTCATCTTAAAATGCAAACCAAACACTTTTAAGTGGTATTTATAGTTCAGTGAGAATGGCTCCCTGTTAAGCCGTCTGATTTAATGAATACGCGCAGCCCTCTCCTGATGTATAAGATGAAATAAAACCTACAGTATGGGAGGAGATACTGTAAGTTGATGCGGCAGGTACTGACACGCAGGGCTGTGCCAAATATTGGTTATGACACAGAGGAGTTATGAGCGCCTTGTTGTCGTCTGGCATCCTGTGTCTGTCTCCCAGACTGAACTCATTCACTCCAGCTCATTCATTTTCTCCATTCATCTTCTCAGATGTGGGAGCCGCATATTATTCCACGATGCCTTAAGACAGGCTCAAGCACCGTTCCGCTGTTTTGCTTGGATTTAAGGATCTGTTTCATTTTGCTCTTTCTTAAAAAATTTCCTGCGATTTCAATCACCAAAAGGACTCATTCAGTCATACTTGTCCTCTGAGCGGCTCAATTTAGTCTCGCAGAATCCTTCACATCCTGAAAATGATTTATATGCTGCTATTTCCAGGAAAAATGAGAGGCAAAATATATCAACCATGAAAACTGCAACAAGACTGAGAGTCTAAAAGAGAAGAGTATACAGCCATGCTAGCAGCTCTGTGAGGATGCAAAGGAGTGCTCAAAAAGAGTCACAAATTTAGGACCTTAGGCTCAACTTGATGAAATCAAAAAAGACTTGCAACTGGACTCAGACTTTGACATCAGTGACTCGTGACTTCACTTGGACTTGAGCCTTTTGACTTGAAAATACTTGATACCTTCCTCAAGACCAAAGACTATGTCATTAACAAAGTGTGACACGGCTATGTGTTGCGTCCACTGCAGAGTCCCCTCACTAGTTTTGTCATTCCACAGGGTTAGTAGAGTTTACACTTTAGAGGATGTTGCAGGTTCCCTCTCCCACTTTGATGTTCACCCTAAAAAAA